CGCGGCCTGCCCCCAGGCCTGGCTTTGTCTCCAGCTGCCAGCTCCCCGGCTGCCTTTCGCGGCCTGCCCCCAGGCCTGGCTTTGTCTCCAGCTGCCAGCTCCCCGGCTGCCTTTCGCGGCCTGCCCCCAGGCCTGGCTTTGTCTCCAGCTGCCAGCTCCCCGGCTGCCTTTCGCGGCCTGCCCCCAGGCCTGGCTTTGTCTGCAGCTGCCAGCTCCGCGGTTGCCTTTCGTGGCCTGCCCCCGGGCCTGGGTTTATTTCCGGCAGCCAGCCCCGCGGCTGCCTTTCGCGGCCTGCCCCCGGGCCTGGGTTTGTCTCTAGCCCCCAGCTCCACGGCTGTCTTTCGCGGCCTGCCCCCGGGCCTGGCTTTGTCCCCAGCCATCAGCTCCTCGGCTGCCTTTCGCAGCCTACACCCGGGCCTGGCCCTGTCTCCAGCTGCCGCGGCTATCTTTCGCGGCCTGCCCCTGGGCCTAGCTTTGTCTCCAGCCACTGCCTCCGCCACTGCCTTTCGCGGACAGCCCCCGAGCCTGGCTCTGTCTCCAGCCGCCATCTCTGTGGCTGCCTTTCGGGGTCTGCCACAGGGCCTAGGTTTGTCTCCAGCCGTTGCCTCCGCCACTGCCGTTTGTGGCCTGCTCCCAGGCCTGGCTTTGACTCCTGCTGCCACCTTCTCAGCTACCTTTCGCGGCCTGCCCCTGGGCCTGGTTTTGTCTCCAGCCAACATCTCTGCAGCTGCCTTTCGTGGCCTGCCCCCAGGCCTGGCTTTGTCTCTGGCCACCACCACTTTGGAGCGAGGCCCCAGGCACTAAAACAAAAAGAGACAATCACCAGATATGGTTCAGCCAGCATTGAGAGGATGATTTAATCATCACTGAGGCTTTTGGACCGTACCTGTCGCTCCTCACCGGCTGATCTGGTGCTCCGACATCCCTGGGTCTCTGCCCTCCACTGAGTTTCCAGCTCAGGCGAGCCAGAGGCAGAGCCTGGACACTCGGATACGGTCTCCTGAGGACCGAGGACAGGGCGGGGAGCCTTATCCAGAAGCTCGTTTCCTAGTGTGTCCCGGGGCGGAGCCAGGGACAGGTCCCTGGGCATGGCTCCTCTTCTCCCAGAGGCCCTGTACTTTCTAGTGTGTGTTTTGCGTGCAGTCACCCCACCTCTGAGCCCAGCCTGGCCCTTCAGTGGCCCCATACTAGTAGTCCTTGAGATGTCCTCACCATCGCCATGTGGCCTTCTGTCCCGCTCGCTGTTCCTGCCTCCCACACTCATCCCGCTCGGCTCCCTCGCCCGCCTCCCTCTGCCAGTTCGCACTACGGGGCCGCGGCGAGCCACATGGTCATCTCCAGCAGACACGCTCCCGGAAGCCTTGCAGGCCTCTCCCAAAGCCCCCTCGCGTCTTGGCCTTTTTTCTGGTAGCGGCTGGGGATCCGAAGATGGCGCCAGCTCAGTTTCATGATCAGATTGCAGCTGTAAGCAGCGCGGGTCCAACCAGCCACTCCTGCTGCGTCTCCCTGTGGCCTTTGCTGGGACCGCCGCAGGTTGCAAGGGCGAAGAGCAAGCCACCGGCTGGCCAGCACCAATTGGACCCTCCCGCCCAGCCGGCTGAGCAGAAACGGCATAAAGCCATGAAGACGGCTGGAGTGGCTCCTTCTCAGGAGAGCACTGACCATCACGTTTGGCAAAAATGTTCAGGGCCAAGCGCAGAGCCTTGCGGTACCTCAGTTCCTCCGTCGGATCTCTGGCAGCATGGCGACCTACAGCGTGTCACAGAGAACCCAGCCACTTCAAAATGAGGGGAAATATGCAAAGACGTGAAATGTTACAAGGTGCTGAAGGGGATCTTATCTAACCTGAAACCTGAAAGAGCTTCAGCCTTGCTGTGGGAAAACCGCTGCAGTCTCAGCTCGGCTAAATATAACGTCATGAAACTGAACCAGACATTTCTATTGGCTGAACCCACAATACAGGACACAAAGATATGCAAATTAGCAGAGATGAATTCCCCAACAGCTAACATGAATTTGGTCTCTGGTGAACACAACTGGCATCTGCAGCAAGAGAAAAGGAAACCTAGGTGTTGAAATATCAGAGAACATGGAAATGTGTCACTAATGAGAATGAAGTTCTCATTAGGGAAATCACCTAATTAAAATTAAGTCTGGGAAATCATTTTTGTATGGACAATGGGCAGAATCAAGTGATACCCCAGGATTAGACAGAGCAGGACAGCGATGGGCTGAACCAAAGTTCTGTTTGGAGGCAAGTCTGTGAATAGGAATTGCTATAGGAATAGGAATTTTCCCTCAGCAGCACAGCCTGTAACCTAGGTGTCATCTTAGATATAAGCCTCTCAACTAAATCACATGTAGATGCAGTATCAAATAATAATAACAAGACACTTTATTGATACTATATCGTCTTTTTACACCTTTAAGGGCCTTGCTCAAGGACCCGCAGATATACTGAGGCTGGGTTTGGTGACCTTCTGATTACTGGCACACAGGCTTAACCCACTGAACCACACGCTGCCCCTAAAGGTACGCTTCTTACAGCTACGTAACATTGCCAAGCTACAACTATTCCTTACTATTCTAGATATTGAGAAATTAATACATGCCTTTGTATACGGTAGGTTAGAGTACCGCAATGTTATCTGGGAGACACACCACACATTAAGCACCTTGCAGCGTATTCAAAATGTAGCAGCTGAAATTGTCACCATGAGCAGGAAGTTCAAAGACATAACCTCTGCTCTTAGTTCCCTGCACTGGCTTCCTGTTAGGTTCAGGACTGATTTCAAAGTTCTCCTACTTGGACATAAGGCACTTAAACGTCTAGCACCCGCCTACCTAACAGAATTATTTCAAGTCTACAAGCTGCATAATCCACTCAGATCATGGAACGTAGGTTTTCTTGTCATTCCACATAAAAATAAAGTGACAGTTGCTGGTAGAACATTCTGCTACAGGGCCAAATCAGTCTCAGTTAAATCCTGACTGAAGACCTATTACATCAGTTTAGCTTACCCACAATTTAACTCATAATACAACATAACTACGGCTGCTTGGGCTGCTATACATGTAATTTTTAACTACTATGCTTGTCCATTAAAGTGTCAATGTGTGTTCTGACCACCCATGCTTTCTGCCTTCCTTCCCACATGTCCGGATGGTTCTCGACATGAGCACCAACTGAGCTAGAGTTCTGGTTCAGTCCTATGGAAAACTGACTTATGAACTGCAACATCATGGGTGCAGCCTTCAGTGTGCCACCCTGCTCTGGCCGGCATGGAGAATTGACTCATTGGTGGGCTTTGGCTTGACCTGATGACAGTCTATAAACAGGACAGTCTCCATCCCCCTGCTTTCAGCAATCCCACTCTTTTCTCTCTCTCAATAATGTTAGCATGTCCAGCTGGGCTTTGGCTTGACCTGATGACAGTCTATAAACAGGACGGTCTCCATCCCCTTGCTTTCAGCAATCCCACTCCTTTCTCTCTCAATAATGTTAGCATGTCCAGCTGGGCTTTGGCTTGACCTGATGACAGTCTATAAACAGGACGGTCTCCATCCCCTTGCTTTCAGCAATCCCACTCCTTTCTCTCTCAATAATGTTAGCATGTCCAGCTGGGCTTTGGCTTGACCTGATGACAGTCTATAAACAGGACGGTCTCCATCCCCCTGCTTTCAGCAATCCCAATGTAAAGACCTCACCTTCCTCTAGAATACTCTTTTCCATATCAAAGACTCATGGGAAACCTGGGGGATCCTGTACTTTAATGTACAATGCTTCAGCCTTACTAAAACAACTGGAGTTGATACAGAGTCTCTATATGGACACTTGCAAGTGGGCAGATTCCAGTGAAGGAAGGAAGAAGGAAGGGAGAGACCAGTAAAACAATATCACTGACCCAGCTGCTGAGCGATCGTCTCAATCCTCTGCTCAGTCAGGGGCACCGTTTCACTCTGCTGGACCCACAACCTGCAAGCAGAGCTTAGCTGTTTGTTGCTCATTTTTCTCTAATTGTCTTGCTTCAGGTAACGGTTGTGACATTGCTAGCAGACTTGCCACCCAACTTGTAATGGAAAATAATATACCGTGTCCCGTTTTGAACCAACACAGGATGTGATTTGTCCCTATATTTTGTCAGATTGAAAATGGAAACTGCAACTGCTGCCACCTGTGACTGTAAGCCCTTGCACTGTGGATGTTCTACTGGATGACAGTTTCCAATCATGAAATAAGCTCACAGTATTTCCAGCTTTAGTTGGCCCAGGTTTTCGGCACAGTTTACAGTACACAGGACCAGCCTGTTGCATGTTTGACTTTAAGCTGGGAAAAGCAGCGCCATAGCACCAGCGTCTTTTTACCTTGCGTATCCACAATATCTCCTTCTTAATGACTGGTTTGGCTGCTGAGCTGTCGTTTTCCTCACAGACACTGGAAGCTTCCTCTGAGGAGCCTTATCTCTTCCAGGACATAAGCAGAACAGCAGCATGTGTGCAGTGCTTGTGAGTCCAACAACATGAGCAAATGTAAACATCAACTGCATCCTCCTCAGCTGAGCTCTAAATTTGACTCTCTACGAGCTATGAACAATAACAAATAGTAACAATACTTAGTTAATATTAGCTCAATACTGCTAGCTCACCTTGTACCACTGAGCCAGCTAATGTTGGAGCTCAGCATAGGAGGACATCATTGATGTTTACATCCAGTCATTTTGTCAAAAGCATCTTCTGCACAGGGATAAACTGGTGTTTGGAATTTGGCAGAAGAAAATAGTTCCTATATTAAACTGCTCACTACAAAGTATGTAGATTATCTTGAGTACCTGTGTCATGATTTCTGGTACGAGACATTGATGTTGAATTTTTCAGATGTATTTATATATTTCAGCACTCACCACAACAGCCTAGTTGGATTTGGAGTATATCACTACAGCATATCGGAAAAATGTGGGGTGAACTGCCCTTTTTCCACCTACCTTTCCTTTTCACCCAGGATTTCAACCTCAGTTTCATTCTTTCCCCTGGATTTCTGGGCAGCACATCTTAGAATCTTTTAGAATAAGAAAAAAAAAGACACAAACTCCATTAAAGTACAGTAACCAATGGTAACACAAACAGGCTCTTTGCTAAAACAAATAAGTCCAAAACAAATAAGAATAAAAGAAGAAAAAAAACACATGAACAAGCAGTAAGGTCCATTTCCTGAGGCACGACCAAAACCTGGTAGGCTGGACGGCAAGTGCAGGCCCAGCTGTGTGAAGAGGCAGCTCAGCACTGCCCCTTTAAAGGGTCCAATCTTTGTAGGACAGCCACATGTGGCGCGTTAGGGATTTCACACTTGTGCTGGTATCACAATCTTCAGCGATTTCGCATAGTTAGCACCATAAACCTGTTAGTTACCATCTCTACATCCACTGCAATCGCATGTCCTGCTGCATGCACCTGCTGCCTGCCAGCGACACTCACCTTTGCCGGCCACAGCTGCCCTTTCCATTCGCAGAGGCACAGCTTGTCATCCATCTTTCATCAATAACTGCAGCGGCATGCACGGCCACGCCCATCTGCAGAGCCAAAGACAACACTGAACTTGATATTGCTGCCGTTCTCTTTAGTCCTGTGACAAGCATTTTAGCAACAAAACTCACAAGGATACCTCTATTGCACAGTTAGGCATCAACTGAGACTCAACATCCAGTATCACAGAGTGACTTTGCATCTGAAGTATCCAGACCTTCCTATACATAATTAATAGGTATAGTCATACAAGAAAATGTTTCTATAAAATATCAGTCAGTAAATTCTTAAGCACAATCTGAATATCATACATGAGCCTGAAACCTAGTTCTTAACCCACAGTTTGCAAAAATAACAAATTCTCATTGTATGACTATCCATTATGATTCTTCTGTAACGAGCTCTATAAAATCATGGTATTTTCACAGACACTTTTTAGTCTGATAGGTTACTAGATTATCTGAGACAGTCAATACTAACCATAAACATAAGTACCCAACAAGTTTGCTTGAATTTTGGAACAAATCTGACTGAATTAAGTTAAGCGAAAGTATTACTATTACAGGTATAAGTACCACACCATAGCAACAGCACAACTAAGGGCACTTTTCCACCACAGCAGGTAGCGTACTTTTGGTACGGTACTATTGCTACTGTTCCTTTTCCATTGACTTCCGGTCGAGAACCAGTACCTAAAGTACCAAACCAGTTGGGGTATTTTTTGGTACTTCAGTACTTTGGGGTGGGACTTACAGACGCTTTCTCTTTATCAGTTTGGACAAAAGACCACGCTAACATGCTGGCGAAATACTCTCAGCTATGAGTTGCATAAAGCTTGTGGTGGCAGTTCTGTGTCACACATTCCCAGGATCAGTAACATTTAGTAACACAAAGCTGAACAGGTCTGAATAATATTATCAATATCCGTTTAACCTTAGTGGAATACATATGACCAGTGTTTAATTTGTGCCAGATTCTGGCGGAAAACATTCCCGGACCTCTGTTTTCGATTGTCTGCGTGCCACTGTTATGGTGATCCTGTTAACTGGTGACAAGCGCATCCACGCAACATGCACTCATTTATTTTTGCAGAAGACGATGCAAATTCGTCAGTTTTGGAGAGCCAATGAAAAAGATTGCTCTGCAAGTATATATTTCAAGTAACCTGAAGTATGTGCATGGACAATTCTGAATATTTACATTTTTTTCGCTTTTCCAAAATTTTCCGTAGTGTTTTGCACGCATTATGAAACCTGCACCCACCCATTCGCGTTCAGGTAACTTCTGATTTACAAACTGAGCCCTGCACACAGCAGATCATAGGAAAAACTAGGAGCTGAAAGAACAAAAAGTTAAAATCACGACAAGTACACGACACTGTTATTAAAATATCCCGTCGTTTTCAATAAATCATGAAATATCCAAAACAAACAGACCACGTTGTCAGCATTTATTTTTTTATGATTGTGATCTCGTCACATGCGGCTAGAAATTCATTATTTACAAAAAAATAATCGGTGAATTTACGATCGTAAAATGGACGTGTTAAAATATATTTTAAAACTGAAGTGTGTGTCTTACGTTAGCTTTCCGCTATTTAATCCTCAAGGGTGCAACAGGTCGATTACCATTGTCTATTTCATTACCGTACGCATTAAATTTAAGGTCGCCTACATAATTACGTCTCAAGTGATTTAAACGCGTTTTTGAGTATTAAATGTAAGCGGTATGACACATTATAGTACGCAGTACAGCTCCAGTTGAATATGTAAATCCGTAATGAAGTTAAATGGTTACACACCTTAACGCTATTCAGAAACAGAACTAAAAAGTGACGCAACTGTCTGCAGACGTACTGAAATACAGGAGCGTCTGAAAGAAATAACCATACGCGACATTTCAGATCCGTCGCCGTGCGACGAAGCCAACCTTTCCCACTCCGCTGATGGAGACAAGAGGCAAATAGTTCAACTAACGGCTAGCGACCAGCGCAGTTTAAGACATGTGTGCAGCATTAAGTAAGACTCCACTAACCGACCGCATACCTGCTCCCGTCTGTCTCCGTACTCACAGATAATCTGTGTTCAGTCGGATGCCATCGGAACTGTGCTCGCACTTCCGGTCAGCTGTTCACTCGGAAACGCCTCCTCATTTCCGCTGGCGTCACGCGTGTAGTTTCTTCCTTGAAACGGTGATGCTTCCAGTTCTTTCGTGGTGGGGAAATACGGTCATAAAAGTGTCGGTTTCCTGTATGAGACATTCCGTTAGTTAGTTACCTGCATAAACATATGTGCTGCATATATCAATCCACACATTTACTAACCGCAAATCCTGGTCGTAGTCAGGGAGCGGAGCTGGCGTTAGCTTCTCCTGGGATGCTTGTACTTTACAGACACATGCACGCGAGGTCACACACACAAAGAGCAAGACTCTGACAAAAGTACGTGTATGTCTTTGGACTGCAGGTGAAAGAAGTATCCAGAGGATACACATGCAGCGCAAGGAGTACACACAGACTTCTCTGCCCATTGGGCCGACCAGTTCAAACAGTATAGTATTCATTAGTTTACTGTTTAATATTAATATTTAATTGTGTCAGATTTTAGGAAGCCTTTTGCTGTACTCTCTAACCTCTGCTAGGGGGCATCTTATGCACACTTGTACACCAGCTGTCTGCTTCTAGAGCAGTAAACTGTGAAGAGCCTACTTAGAATGTATTTAGCTTGGTAGAAGGAGATGACTCTTCCTGCTTGGAACTGCCTTGTAAATTAAATTCAGAGCACTTTGTGCCCTTGTCAAATGTCCAAGTCACTGTGGTTTACAGGAACTGTAAACGTATTCCATTCTCATTTTCTCCATTAACATTCTGTAGTGTTCTTGAGTTTGAAAAAGGCTGGCAGTCGAGAAGATGTCTGTGTTGGAAATTGACTTGGGCTAAGTGACTTAGAGATTGATATCATTCAGGGTTAAAGGCTACAGTTTTTAGACTTGTTTTAAAAATGATGGTCAGTCCCTGGAAACTTTATCTTGCATATCGATGCGAGCAGTACATATTTAGCCCTGAGTAAATGTCACCCCTATATAGTATTTTCTTACTTGCCCTTAAACCACGGACGTGTCGTTTATGCAGTTGGAGAATGTTACTGAATTATGATATCATGTGATTTTTTTATCATGTGAAGGAATTTCTCAGCAGCAAGTTCATGACATCAGTATGAAAAGCATAAATGGATAAAAGTTACATCTAGTTTTCTTTTCACTATCATCAGGCGCCAAAACCATGATGAATTCTGATGGTATTTTGATTAAAGCGTAATTTTTACCATCGACAGTTAAAACATAGCCTTCGCACAGCTGTGACCAAGTTTTGAGAATGACACAAATATCGATTTTATCAAAGTCTGATGCATCAGTTTTTAACTACAGAATGTTATGAAGAGTGATCAGATGAATTGCAATTAATTGTAAAGTCCCTCTTTGCCATGAAAATGAACTTAATCCCAAAAATCCATTTCCACTGCATTTCAGCCCTGCCACAAAAGGACCTGCTGACATCATTTCAGTGATTCTCTCATTAACACAGGTGAGAGTGTTGACAAGGACAAGGCTGGAGATCACTCTGTCATGCTGGTTGGGTTAGAATAGCAGATTGGATGCTTTAAAAGGATGGTGGTGCTTGAAATCAGTGTTTATCCTCTGGTAACCATGGTTACCTGCAAGGAAGCATGTGCAGACATCATTGCTTTGCACAAAAAGGGCTTCACAGGCAAAGGTATTGCTGATAGTAAGATGGCACCTAAATCAACCATTTATCAGAACATCAAGAACTTCAAGGACAGAGGTTCAGCAGTTGTGAAGAAGGATTCGGGGCGCCCAAAAAATTCCAGCAAGTGCCAGGACCGTCTCCTAAAGATGATTCAGCTGCGGGATCGGGGCACCACCAGTGCAGAGCTTGCTCAGGAATGGCAGCAGACAGGTGTGAGTGCATCTGTATGCACAGTGATGCGAAGACTTTTGGAGGATGGCCTGGTGTCAAGAACAGCAGTAAAGAAGCCACTTCTCTCCAAGAAAAACATCAAGGACTGACTGATATTCTACAAAAGGTACAGGATTGGACTGCTGAGGACTGGGGTAAAGTCATTTTCTCTGATGAATCCGATTTCCAATTGTTTGGGGCATCCGGAAAAAAGACTGTCCGGAGAAGAAAAGGTGAGCGCTACCATCAGTCCTGTGTCATGCCAACAGTAAAACATCCTAGACCATTCATGTGTCGGGTTGCTTCTCAGCCAAGGGAGTGGGCTCACACAATTTTGCATAAGAACACAGCCATGAATAAAGAATGGTACCAAAACATCCTCTGAGAGTAACTTCTCCTAACTATCCAAGAACAGTTTGGTGACGAACAATGCCTTTTCCAGCATGATGGAGCACCGTGCCATAAGGCAAAAGTGATAACTAAGTGGCTTGGGGAACAAAACATTGACATTTTGGGTCCATGGCCCAGACCTTAATCCCATTGAGAACTTCTTGTCAATCCTGAAGAGGCGAGTGGACAAACAAAAACCCACAAATTCTGACAAACTCCAAGCATTGATTATGCAAGAATGGGCTGCCATCAGTCAGGATTTGGCCCAGAAGTTGATTGACAGCACGCCAGGGCGAACTACAGAGGTCTTGAAAAAGAAGGACCAACACTGCAAATATTGACTCTTAGGCATAAACTTAATGTAATTGTCAATAAAAGCTTTTGACACTTATGAAATACTTGCAGTTATACTTCAGTGTACCATAGAAACATCTGACAAAAAGATCTACAAACAATAAAGTAGCAAACTTTGTGAAAACCAATACTTGTGTTATTCTCAAAACTTTTGGCCACGACTAGGTTTTTTGGTTGGTTTTGGTTTTTAGGTTGATGATATGGCAAACCAATTCACAGTATGCGGGTGTCACATATTTTTATTCCTAAAGAAGTGTTATTCATCTTTTATACATGCTAAAATAGAAATATTATACTCATTAAGCAAAGTAATGTATCAAAGTGATAATACGCAAAATAGTGAATAAGGATAAATCACAGATTAATGCAAACATCTCATACTATGAACTGCATACACATGGTATTTAAGGTTTGTTATAAGTTATATATTGCGTTCCAGTTTTTGTACAGTATGGTGGGATCTAATATGTACACGGTTTCAAACAGAGTTAAAAAAGAAACCATGACACCAATGCAACATTCTTCAATCCATATTAATTTATTTTGGTGCTAATCTCACTCCATAGAAATTAGTTTATGCTGCAGTCAAAAATTGTTCTGTGAGACAAGTAAACTGTAACATAATTAACTGCAACAATTATACAAATTTACATACATTTCTACAAAATGGTGGTACGCTACCTTGTGAAATGCTAAACACTCATGTCTTTGGTTATGGGAAACATAGTTACTCAGCTAGGCCAACAAATTTAAAACAAAATCTAGAACTACGGGAATGTTTTAAATTAATATAATGTTATTAATACAGTATTATAAGATTAATATTAGGTTATTAAGTCTTTAAGGAAAAAAACCCATTACACGTTTTAAGTTCAAATTTAATTTCCATAAATTTAGCTCCATACACAGAGCAAATGAATGCAAGGGTTATTTGTAAACCCAACTGCAACAAATACAGCTACACTAACAATGTATCAGAAGAACAATAGAAACGTCTTATACAGTAAGAGTTAGGTCAATGAAATCAATAGGATTTATCAATTACATTTACATCACCATTAGTGACCACATCTTCATATACAAAAGTTCTGGTATTATATATATTTTTCCATAATGGTTTTCCTGATATATATTTTTGGCAACAGAAAACTTATTGCATTTTACAGCAGAGTTTGATGAGTGTCTTTTAAGCCTGAAACAATGCATCATTTAGCCATTCTGGAATACAGTGTTGATCTGGAATATGTGCCAAACGGCCTAGAATGTTTCCTGTATAGCAAATAAAATGTTGTATGAAGGCCATCACACAGGCCTGGCTCCACCGAGGGGATGCAGGGTGGCCAATCACAAGCTTGGCCAGCTCCAAGACTGGGCAAACGCCAGCCAATCACAAAATTCTGTTCTATGCAGTTTGTCTGTTTATTTGTTTGTTTGCTGTAAATAGGAAATAAGCAAGCCAGATTCTTTCCTTAATAAGAACTTTTTAAAATGCATACAGCCTATGTTCCTTATCCATGAATAAGAATGTGTCTTCATTTTTAAGGTATGAAATCAGTCAGGCCTGCATTTAAAAGGCATGTAACTCACAAGACACACAGCAAATGAAGGCTGACGAAGGGGAGGACTAAAAGAGCAAAGGTGCCGGTGAGGAGTCTGGGGGAGCCACTGTCTGGCTGACTCTGATGACTCTGCTGGTTCTGCTGGTTCTGCTGGCTGATGCTGCTGTTATCCTTCTTGCACCGATTTCTGAAATTGTTAACATTATAAATGATCAGTCAGTGGCTACATAATATAGCCTGTACATTTAACCCTGAATCGCGTATGGACTCTTGGGCAGAGTTCAGAGTCATGCTTGCTACTCACAGCTGGTTCTGCAGGGACATGTGGCTGATGTTCAATGCATTGTACCGGCTCTCTGCCGCCCTCTGGTGGTTGATGGCGGCGGCCCATGATGCCTCACATGATTCCTTCAGGTGGAAAGCCTGTGTCAGATTGTACTGCAGGTCTTCCAGTTTCTCTGAAACATAGTTTTTTTGGTAGCAGATACAAAGAAGATCATATAACATGCAGTATATTATGACTGCAGTAAAACAAATTATAAGAAATTTGTAATTTTTCATAAGACAGGCCATGGAATCTGCCAAGACTGATGGCGTAGTTTTTGTGTTCAAAAAAGGTTTCCTCCCCGTTGTGATATTAACTTATAAGGCAATATCTGTCATGGAACTGGATTATCAGTTTGAAGTAGGTCCAGCCATCCATGACACGTTTTGTTATTTCTGGAGCTGCCAGATACTCGGGAATTTTACTCAGCTTAATCTCATTGCTTGTCTATCTGCTAACAAACAAGCTATGGTACGACAAACTAATCCTGTTTTTAAGTGAAAATTTTCAGACTCTAGGCTACTTAGAAGATTGTCTGGAAGACAGAATATTACCCACGATTTTTCTATTGTCCTTCCCTTGGGGCGTTTACTCAAAATTATTTATTTCAGATTCAGGTCAAGAAATCAAAACCTAAAATGAATTTGATGACTGATTTCACAACATCCTTCACTGCTTTGCAAACTACCTAAGCAAGGTTGAGTTTGTGCGCTTTCAATATGGAGTGCAGTTGTGAACAGTTACACCAATGCGTTATGCAGTGTATAATGATGCGTGAGACACCCATACAGAAGAGTGAAGTGTAGTACTTTACATACATGATGATGGCCTTTTCATATATGATTCACAAATGTATGATATATGATTACACGCTTTCATGTCAGACTTTTTCATACAGGTATAAAGTCTCTCATGCATACTTCATAGCCAATATAGCCTCCTACATTATACACACACAGTATACATATCACCCCACTATTTAAACAATTACCAAAGTTCTCTTTTGAAGTAGTTTCAGGCAATATTTGTTTTCCCCAATTGGGGGTTTCTATGCCGACATGAGGAAAATGATGCTAAAAATATCTTAAATGAAAAGCCTTTTCTGGCAGGCGAATAGGAAAAGTGCAGTTTAAATTTTCCTACCTTTGTGTGCCGTTATTTCTGAAGTGAGGTTCTTCACTAATTCTCTCTGTGACTTGGTTTCATTTTCCAGCGCTGTTATGTTGTCCCTTAAGATGACCTGTAATAATGAACAAATGGTATATATAACATGCTCATTACGTGGGTAGTAGTAAAATTCAGTCACCTGCTTGTTTGACTATAAATAACACAGAGGGAACACTTACTTCACTGGCTCGTGCCAAAAAAACCTGCCATATCGCATATGTGACACTCTGAGAAAAGACAGTCACATTCCAGCCGTGGGCTTGGCAAGGAACAGATGTAGTCAAATATTCCCCCAATAAATATGCACTATTCAGTTCAACATACAAGCAAAAATACAAAATAAATGTGATACAAAAAAGTAACTGCTTTCACTGAAATGACCTACTAGGGTGTGGCTGACAGCACTGGCTGCTGAGGCTGCTGTTGGTCGCCATAACCCCCCTCCCATATTGTCCCTTAACAGTTCCATGCAAGGATTTGTTTTGTATTTGTATGACAACCTGCTGTAAAACACCATTATTTTTCACTGTCGATTTGTATATAAAGTACATCCACAAGTGTCTTAATCTCCTTCCGGTCAGAGAGAGAAACTCATAAACAGTTTGTTGCTTTGTCACATACATTAATATTTTCATGAAGCTGAAGAGACCAGTGCGGTTTTATATCAGATGATCTGGTGTTTGCTAAACATCCTCCTTTAAAAGAATTATCACTGCTCCAAAGCATCGTTGTAAAGCAGGGAGAGAAAGCCACAGGACTGCTTCAGCTCACACAGGCTGCAAAGCAACACTCACGTTTTCCTCCAAGCTGATCTTCAGGGATTCATTGGTCTTGTGCTGGCTTTCCCAAAGCCTGCTGATGTCTTGGCTCAGCTGTGCCTCCTTTTCGCGGCTTTTCTCTATAAGCTCCTCCAGAGCTTCCCTGTCCTTTGCCCACACTACGCTGGCACTCCTGTACTCCTGGATTTGGGCTTCAAGTTCTGTCGTACACTTGTTCGCTTGTTCTTTTCTTTCCGATGAGGTTGCCCACACGATGATTATGACGAGAGAAATGATAGACCAAATAACAAGGATCGCCATGACAATGTTGCAGGTGGTCTTGGATGACTTGGAGCTCGTCATTCTGTGGGCAGAAGCTGATGGAGACCAAACGGGAATTGCTGAACGTCGTGTGCTGAAGGTGTCAGCTCTGGAGAGTCCTGCAGGCCGTATGGCGTCTCTGAGTGAGCTCACAGGCTGAGTGAGGGAGGAATTCCCCTCCGACTGCTTAACAGCAAGAGCGGGGTGTGGCCCATTTCCCAGTAGCAGCAAATAGGGAGGCCAACTTTATTCAGTCCTGGCATCAGCCTGTGAGCTAGGGGAGGGCTGGGGGGTTGTGGCTGGGGG